ACTATTAAAATAAAATGCGTATAACTCTTGAAGGATTGAACGAGAGCACGAATGGTTTTCAGATTCGTAATCAGCATCCTTAAATTAGCAAAGTGGGATACATTGCTTTGAAATCCCAGGGAAACACCTGGGACCTTCCCTCGTCAGTTGGAAAGTGGGCTTGAGCTCGAAAGTTCAGATCTTTTCTATTTTTCGGACCGCATGGCTCATTGATTATGATGTTTGTCGCGTACTGCAGACGTACCGTGTTTTAACCTCGGGCGCCGGTATGTCATGTAATAATCTTGAACAAGTTTCTCATGTCTTAGCGTCTCGGATCACCGTCCCGCAACATACTCACTACATTGTGACGTACAGTATAGCTCCTCTGGCTAGTTCGCGTAGTTTTTCTTAAAGCTAGTGTATGGTTAGTGAGTGTGTGTGGCATTGATGAGTTGAAAATGACTTTTTCAAAGATTTACGATTTATAAATCATTTTAAACCGATTAGATATCATTATTCATAAACATCCTGATTTATAAACGCTTTTCCGCCGGAAAAATAGCGAGAAAATTTTGAAGTTCTATATGATTTATAAACTCATCAGTAGTGTATTTGAAGCTAAAGTAGGTGAGTGGAAGAGCTTTTCGTCAGAGCAGCCTTCTGTCCGAAGGTGTAAACGATGATAAGTAACGAGATGAATGACCATGTCAGTAGCTTGTCAACTACAGACGAAGATATCGGACTATTGACACTACCATAACCGCAACCTACACCGGTAACGATAAGCGTAAGACGAGGTATTTCTCTTCTTTCTTTTTTCTACTAGTTTTCGGGAGCACTAACATCGTAAATTCTCCTATACAACTGTAAGACTAGTTTGATGTAGGATGATCATTAAAAATAATAGCTTTTTGCAAATATGTTATTTTCGGTTGTTAACTACCATTTAGAGAAATTGCTTAAATTTGTTACACACCCTAATTGATTAATTTTAATATTTTTAACGCTTCATTGCTTCTGAAGTATATCGAAATTTTCTTGTTGATTATTTTTCAGTAAACCGCAACACACAGGCAAATTGACACCATTCTAGACTACTCCTGTATCTTGCTACAATTCTTGTATTACCAAGCATGAATCCGATGCCGCCGATGTCGGGTGGTTACCCACAAATGTACCCACAGCAACAGCCACAAATGATCTATGGTACACCGATAGGATTTGGTTGGACAACTGATTTGTTCGATAATAATTATTCTACTCATCATCGTCAAAATTATGCTGTTCCCAGAGGAGGCAATCGACAACGTGGCTCACGCATTCGTCAGGGTGTGCGTAACCTTTTCAAACGTGGCTCGCAACCGGTTTCGTTTATATAATCGTGGTTACTAAGGCTTAATACAAGGCAATATATAAACATGTTAGAAGTAGTGAATTATTCAACGGCTTCTTGTATGTTAATATGAAAAGGATTTGAGACATATTCACATCTTATAAAAATTTTAGTATAGAATCTGCAAGATTCAAACATTCAGATAAATTTCTAATATCAAAATGTTTTACAATTCATGAAAGAAAACTTGAATTCAATAAAAATCAACAGATAACCTTAATGCTTTAAAGTACGTAATTAAGATCAGTTTTAAGAAGTTAGATGTATCAGTTCACACCCTTGAAAAATCTGAATACATTTTTTTGAAGATTATTGCTTGGAAATAATGCGAATATTTATGCTAATTTTTTTACTATGCTGTTGTCTTCAATCTTATTGACTGCGAAGTCTATGTACTGTAATTAGCAGACTCTTTATCGATCAATTAATAGAATATTTTTGCATTTTTAAGAATATCTTCGTCTCGATTTCTTTCATTTTCTTAACTTTTTCTTTTCAAATTGAAAAGAAAATTTTTGCTAATTTTGTTTTTTACATAAATACCCATCAAAACTAATGGATTAATAAGTATTAACTACTATATAGAGATATTAAAGCCAGCCGTATATCTCATCTAGTCTATGATCAAATTTAATGATCGTTGTAGGAAATATTTCTTACGGTTATAGGTAGTTTAACTGCTAAGATGAGTCTGTAAGCTACTGAAAATATAAACAAAATACTGTTACTTTTTAACTCACTTTTGACTTGGCCATGTCTCACGGATATAAATAAGTCCAATGCTGTTGTGTTAAGAATGCATTTTTAAAAATTCTTTTTTAGTTAATTAGAAGCGCAAGGGAATGATCTATACAATGTGCTTTTTTATTTGACTACTCTCAATGAATGTACTGAGTACAAAGGTGCCCCAACAAGTACCTTTCTATCAATAATATCACAAATATCGGAGAAAAATGTATGGGTATTTAAGTACTGAAGCAGAGGTATTCTAGTGGCATATTTTCACATAATCGATCTTTCAATTAATTATTTTTAAATTGACTATCTGAAAAAAAAAGTGACGACTATGGTACGTACTTTTGTGCAGTAGATAACTCGATTTTGTGCATGTTGAGAGAGTCATCTACGTGCTAGTGAAAAGAATTGTATCATTTTCATTTTAAATGGTGTTTATATACCACACCATGGAAAGAAAATGGTGGTTGAAATGTGTACGAGTACCTTAGTAGAGCTTTTTTAGTAATTGGGTATCCTATCGGTCTGTTTAGACATTTAGTTTAAACTATCGAAAAAAATCTCACATACAGAATAGAAGAAAATTTTCAAAACTTAAAAAATAGTTTTTTTAGTGATGTAACATACTTTAGAAAAAACCTGTATCATCCCGTTTTTGTAGAGGCGTTTCACTCTACAATGTACCGTGTTTAAATTAAAAAAAGATTTTTTCTGAGAAGAAAGGGAGGAATATCCTTCAATCATTGTTATTCAGTGGTTCAACTACAGGCAGGCCAATGAGCTATGGCCTAATAAGATTCTGATTTCGTCTAAAGGGTTTTAAAAATTTGAGATTTTCTAAGCTAAAATTTTTGAATAAACTTCTCTGATCTAGTGCTTTCTGGAATTTTTAAAGCTTGGTCTAAATTTAGTCCGTAGTCTTAGTTGATCGTCACCACTTGAACATAGTTAAGGATTCTATTTCAAATGATTAATTAAAACAATTTAAATAAAAAGTTATTTTAAATGAGAAGTACAAAAGAATAACTTGTTCAATGTAGGACGAGCTCTGCGCTTCGAAGAGGACATACGCTTTTTATCACCAAATCACCCAAAATGCCGACAGAAGCTTTTCAACTTTCATCGATTTTCTACAGTTTATTACAGACTGAACCAGCCTACTAAATTTTTCATATCAATTCTATATTTACTGCAGAGCTGGCATCATCCTGTTACACAGTGTATCACGAAACAACAGTCAAAATACTAGTATCGTATGTAAACGCAAAACCCTCAAAATACATGAGAAGTTTGGTTACAGATGTGTATGTAATGATGACACAATGCAGGTTGAGTATAGTACACATGTAACGGCATCCGAGAAGACTGAGTAAGTTGAGGACGGTTTCATGAGGCTTCAATCACCACTATGCTGACTTTTTCAGCAAATTCTGTGATTTATATCAAATTAAGTTTAAGTCAAATTAGTTTTACAATTTTTTCACCTCTCACTTCAAACATCATTTGTCTACATAATTTATCAATTGATTATATTCCAACAGAAATTCCAGTGCCATATACTCAAATTCCCTGAACACTATCAGGGAATGTATAGATTCCCTAGGGAATGTGCACATTCCCCACAAATATCGGGGAATGTATAGACTGCCCAGGGATAGACCTGTGCGCCTCGCCGCTGCTGCCGTCGATGAATAACTGAGGTTTTCGACGCCGGTCGCTGCCGAAGGCGTCAAAATTTTTTGGAACAGGTCGCCGCCGCCGCCGATCGATAAGTTAGATTTTTGCGGCGCCGCCGAAGGCGTCCAAGTTTTATGGGTATCCCCGCCGTAAAAGCTTGCTTTAGCATTCGCCGATAAAAAAAGTTTTGCGTGAAAATATCATGCAAAACAGCCGGAATCACTGGTTCAGTATGTCTCTGTCATCTATATGCATAGCCATTACCGATATAAGATAAGAATATTTATTAGCCATAATTTCAATGGTCTCGTACACAACAAGTCTGATGAAATTGACAATGGATCTTTTCATTTAAACTAAAGCTTTTTGTACTCAAATTTGGTTGTGGTTGGACCTTCCGCTGACGATGGAAATCTTTAAATAATCTGTTAGTCACCGCCGCCGCCGATTTTCCGACCAGCGCACAGATCTACCCAGGGAATGTGCACATTCCCAGTAACATAAATACTTCAACGATTTTTCGCTTTTCAAACTTCCACCTTCAAAGTGTAAATAACATTAATTAAGAGCATTTGAGAATGAAAAGGACCCTGCCGGATTTAAAAAGCTGAATAGCAGGTTCAATAAAGAATTTTATTGTGCATCTAACCATATTTGATTTTTGGTTTGAAACTACGATCGTTCCTCAAAAAATAATTTTTAAAAAGTTTGACCATTTACTGACATGAGATGAAAAACGTTTTTCAACTCAAATTCAACATTGAAAAAGCTTCGTATATATAATTGATCATTTTTGGTTTTAAAATTGATTTTTCTCATTTTCATTACGTCTTTTGTAAAAATAAGATGTACCGTTTTTACACCATTAATTTACGGCATGAAAACAGTCCCGAAAGCTACGTTATGAAAATGGTCTAAAAACGGCACTTAACCGGTCACCGTAATTATCACACATGTATTAGTATAATAGTATATTTACGAAGAGAAAATGTGTCAAAATTTTTGTTTTTTTCTTCCGGTTATTGACTAATTAGTACTAATTAACGTTAATTTAGCCTACTCTACTGGCATAAAAAAAAATAAAAATAGCAGCGCAACAAAAAAATTCAAGAAATACCTCATCTGACAGAGAATTTCACGGGTTACAGTATAGTCTACCTTAAAAATTTTAGAATTCATTTTTGGTCACTCGGTAAGTCTGATAAGCCCAAAATTTAACAATATTGTTTTAAATAATTAAATTTTTTCTTAGCCAGATAATTTCAGTAACTCGAGAAAACTTCCGAACATACACTTCGAAGTGTCCTCTACAAATCGGGAAGGCTCGAAGAAAAAATTCAAAACTTGAAAATATCGCTGGTTTTTGGCTCATCGAAGATTTTTTCATCTCACCTTACGGCTAGTTTCGCCCGAACCAAGCATTTTGAAGCAAAACTTTTGGAACAAAAGTTGTTCAGAATTAAATTCTGCAGTCCCTCACGAGAACTTCTTTTAAAATTTTCTGTTTTTGGTTTTTAAATTAAATTTTACGGTTTTTAAAATCCTAAAATTTCATATTTTTCAATTTAAAAAGCAAAAAAAGAAAATTATAAAAAAAGCTTTCATGAGGGACTCTGGAATTCGATTCTGAACAACTTTTGTATCCAAAGTTTTGTTGCAAAATGCTTGCTCCGAGCGAAACTAGCCGTAAGGCTTTTTTCAAAATACTTTAACTCTAAAATTCCTCGGGAAGGTGAAAGTTAAATTTCTCCGTCAAACTTCATTTGGGAACGATGTAAAGTTTTTCTCCTTATACAAATTAATGTTCTCTATCGAACTACGCTAGAATCAACTCTTCATATCAAAAAATGAAGTTTTTATTGAAATTTTAAAAATAGGGCAAAAAACCCGAAAAAAACTTAAAAATGTTTTTTATCAAAAACTATAAATCCGGGAACTGAAAGCTTTGTTGAGACGTATACTTCGAAGTGTCCTTCACAAACGGTTGGAAAAAAACGGGTGGGGGGGCCCCCTTAATAGGTTTTCTGCAAAATTTCTTTCGAGATCTCCTATAAACAGGATATGGAATAGCTTAAATATTCTGAAGTTCTGAACTCGTTCTGATGTTTTTTGAATGAATAGGGAATTTTTTAATATTAAGGTGAAAACAGCCTGAAAGCCCTAATTTTCGCCAATTAGCGGACCATTCGGACAGACGGGCTAAATCACGATTGAGGGAGTCAGATGAAGCCTTCAAATCTTTTCTTCTGCCATACAAGCATCATCGGCAGATAATTTACATTACTTTTCCAGGTTATCAGATATATCGTTTATAAATATTAGGAAGAACAAAGACCCTAAGACTGAGCCTTGCACATTACAATTGATTTTTCTCTCATTCGACGTTTTACCGGAAATTATGGTGACAATTCGGCTTCCTGTAAGATAATACTCTGACCACTTCAAAACCGAGCTCCCTATTCCATACTTCTCAAGTTTCAAAAACAAATCCCGATACCATACGGTGTCAAACGCTTTTCGAATGCCCAAGAGAATACCAGGTACGAAACCACATTCATCTAAGTCTCATTAATT